CTACCACACACAAATTGCTTTCAAATGTACACACCAAGGAACTCTGCACCCAACATTTAATTTGCATGCAAACTCTTGTCAGAATTCACAAATTGAATGCTGTTAAGACTTAGCCTTTTGTGAAGCTACCTCAAATATCATCACCAGCTGTTTTACTAAAGGGTGGTCAATGTAGAAGTTTAATGAGGAAAAAGGTCATTTTAAAGTTCCTTCTGCTTTGTGAAATCCTAGAAACTTAGAAGAAAGAGGGTCTGTGCTCACAGCTGGCTATAATGCTAAAATGAGGAAGACTTCAAGAAACTTACAGTGTACCATAATTAAAAAAAAAGAGATTACATGTTCATCTACTTTAGGCCATGTGATTTCACAAACTATTACCTTCAGTTAAAAGTTTACAGAACCCTTGCTTACCAAGTTCTACCAAAATTTGTCGGTACAATTTATTGGTGTTCCAACGGCCATTTCCCTTTGCAAAAGCATTAGACTTTTTCAAAAGACTTTTAAAATATCCAAACAATTAATTTCAATCCCTTTGTTTTCAACAAACACCACCCTCATGAAGGAAAAAAAAAAAAAAGGGCCACGCTGAAAAGATCAAGGCAGGTAGACAAAGTAAAAGAGAACATTCCTTTGCCTAGGTAGCCCAAATAGCTAGCTCCTTTCCCTTCCTGCACCAGCATGAGTTCAATTTAAAAATTAACATGAGCACCACGTAGAAAGGTCTCTACTTATTCTGACTAAGCCACCTCATTTACATACTCAGTGACCAATCTTGTAACTAATGCAAAAGTCTTATTCCTCATCAAGAGAGGCAGACATCGATCTCTTTCACCTTGACTGCTGCGAGTCCTGTGTAATCAGAGCTCAGGTCTCTGTTCTTTGTCTCTCTAAGATTATGCCCTACTGCCTGTCCAGTTACAATAATCCGTAATTAGACTGCAAGTCATGTTCCACTTAACTATAGAGGAAGCTAGCCCCCTTTTGATGTTTCGAGTTGAATGATTCTCCTTTAGGCATGGCTCAGGTAACCTGCTTCGAGCCACATTTATTCAGATTGTGCATCCAGTCAGCTGATCTGGGGACCCTTGCTGTCACTGGGAAAGATCTCCCTTGCTCCCTTTTAGAGAGAAAGTGAGTTAGTCAAATCTGAATTGGAAGTCAATGATGAGAATTTTCCTCTTTGTGAAGTTCTCCTCTGTCTGTGCATGTATGATTCTAAGAAAACATGATAAACATAGCTCTTTTATTTGCTTATATCCCTTTTCACATCACTGTACTATCTTTCCTTATACTATGTAGAAGAGCTCTGCGTGCAAAGATTTGTTATGCTTAACCAGGTAATGAAAGGAATACAATGTTGATTCAGATCACATTTAGTGATCCTACTACTGCACACAATATGGCCGCCATTGATCATCCAATTCTGCTCAATTAACACAGAAATACTTCCTCAGGCATCCAGAATAACAGAGAGTTCACTCTGATCTTTGTCATTAAAGGACTATAAGCTCCCTAAATAAACTAACCCATATGATCATATCACAAGTTTAGTTAGATCTCTCCTAGGGAGATGAGAAACACCTGCAGAACGGGAATAAACATCAAGACTAAACAAAGGTTAAAATTCAGAAAGGTTATGGAATAATATTATGTCCTTTGTTTACCTGAAAGTTACCTCTATTAAAAAGTCCTTAGCTCTTCTTTTTCCTTTGACATTATGCCAGAGTGCATTGAGTTGGAATCTCAAATTGAAAACTGGCGAGACTTTTCCAGCAGAAAGTGGCAGGTCTAAGTAACATGATTCAACTTGCATAAGTAATAATGTGATTTCTAACTCATGCCATTACAACCTGCAAGTCACTCTGATAATATGACCATTGTTGCCATGAAGCAACTTGTCTCAAATTCCTTCTTTATTGAACAGAGTGAAGACTTGGGATCATCTTATAATGCAGGTCTGAATTCTTCTCTGTTCCTCTCATTGCTTAAATACTCTAACCATCTGTTAATTACTGAATAGGCTGCAACCCCACTCTATATGTCGTTAGAGTTATTTTTGTCCATTGGGCATCCGGACCTCCATTTAGTCCATCCCCCTTCTTAATTCATTGGTGTCAGGCAGCGAGAGCCTTCAGGCCAGAGCTGGCACTCTGTAAGCAGCAGCAGAACCTCATGCCCATTCTTTATCACAGCCTTTGAAAAAGTGAGACTGTAACCTACTCTGTCTGCATTTCACTGCAAGTGTTTCTGGAGATAAGTGTCCAGGCTTCACAGAGGTGATTACTGCTGTTGCTCTCTCAAAAGAGATGCTTTAATAGCATCATGTAGACCTGACAAGAGGAAGTTCCAAAATCCATTTTGAAATACAGTACAGTGCCACCCAACTCTGGTTGGCCTTTCAAATGTTCTTCACCTGGGCTCCAAGCACAAGCTCTGCCAATTTTGTATGATAACTGTTGAAAGGCATATTGCATCTTCATCAAAATAAGCACTCATTTTGAATTATTATAGATGCAATATATTTTGCAGATTTGCATTTATGACATTATGCCCACTTAGTATACTATGCTTTCTTACATTACTACTTCTCTAGTAGTCTAAGTCTTTAGACTACTAAAAGACTACTACTCTTAAGAGTACTTAAAGATCTCTTGAACTTACTTCAGTTGCAAATAAACATGTTTTCTAGTAATAAAATTAGTATAGCTGAAAGTAATTTATATAATGTAAAGCCCTTCAGCATGAAGTGAGATACAGTCACTAACGAACAGCTCTACTCTTGGAGCACAAAGAGGTAACTGCAAAGAAAGCATGTATCTGTATCCCACAGAAAAGTTAAAGCACTAAATCAAAGAGACAGCTAAATTAAAGTTTTTTCACAAAGTACAAGCAAGCCAACACATTCAAGAACATGTTTGACTACTCAAATTACCATGCACATCATCTTTTAAATACTTGATTTTTATTTTAACCAGTTGCTCCAACTGAATTTTGTCCTCACTGGAATGGACCATTATCATCATCAATACATTATTAATTCTTGAAGATTTCTAACTGATGTGCACGTTCCTATGGGTATTTTTCTGTAAAACATTAAGCATGTCCTAGTGTTGGAATTCTGTATTTTGTTACTGTTTAAGACATAGCATGAAAAATTTCTTTAATGCAAATCACTGAAGTCAGGTTTCATTTCAGGGTCTTTATTATTCAATTCACTTGTACAGAATAGTTGAAGCATGAAAGATTAATTTAGAGATCTGAAAGTGATCAAGTCTTACTTGAGCTAGGTAAGTATGAGGTCCAGCCTGTTCCCTCAGCTGTTACAATTCTGCCCATTTACCAACTTTGGTCCTAACAGTTTCAGAGCACCAAGAGATTCATTTGCAGAAATAGACAAAGACTTTATAGTTTTCAGGATTCTTTAAAAGATGACACATTTTAAAAGTTTTATGCAAGTGTGTAAGAGGTCTGCCTGAAGGTTATCAAACTACTAAAAGGATCAATTATTTTAAAAATCAGCAAATTTTATTCTGAAATAGAAAAGTGAAAAAACAAAGCAGTTTGGGATAAGAATTTGCACAAAACATCAACTAGGACCTATAGCCATGCATAAAGGAGTAGAACATATGCTTAAAATTGAATATTTAAGCTTTTGCTGTCAACATTCTTGACATACTTTGTAAGTCTGCGTAATTTCCATTGCACACTTTCTCTAGAAAGCTTTCAAGTACCCTTTTGACTATGGGAGAAATAATGCAAGAAATAGCTTTTATCCTTCAACCTGTAGTCTTTGAAAGCATTTGCCTGTCACAGCACAAGTTTTCTGTGGCATACAGGCTTCAACAGGATGCAATACAGCCTTGAAATGAGGACAAAGATCTCATTACACTAGGATGTAAAATTTTCCTTTTCGAGATTGAGATTAATGAGTAGGATGTAATTTTAAACCTTCAATACTATGAGCCTTCTAGTTAGCTGCAGATTTTCTGCTCTGGTGCATCTCTTGAAATGAGCACACATATTATAAGGGACAAGTATCTTCTATAGTAACAGCAACTTTAATGTTTAAAGACTACATGTATGGTACAGTATTTTAACACAAGAAGATCTGAAGTGTTTAACCTGTTAGGAAGTTTCAGCAGTAGTTTGAAACTTACTTCCAGAGAGTATTTGTTTTGCATGTCCCAGGTTGTTAATATGCTTTAGCTCCAGAGTTTTGGGGGTTTTGTGTTCGGTTTGGGTTTTTTTGTTGTTGTTGTTTTGGGGTGGCTCTTTGTCATTTGTTTTGTTTGTGGTTTTTTTGGGTTTTTTTTTGTTTTTTTTTTTTTAAACTTCCACACAAATCTGTTTTTCATGTGAAGGAAGCTACAAGTTTAATAGCTACGTAAACTACATGTTAATGCTTCTCAATTATTCCGATAAACATTTCAAAGCTCAAAACCCATATTCCCTAGGTACAAGAAACTAACACAAGAATTTATCTCTTGGTGTTTACTTGTACTACACCAACTTTTTTGTTCTGTGGACATATAAGACATTACATCACCTTCTAAACTGCTTTCAGTTGACTAATACAACACAAAGGTAAAGAGTTATCTCACAATAATTCATGCATCCATTGTACAAAAATTCCACATAAAACATGTTGTTTGATCTACATATAGAGTTATAGGAAGTAAAAAAATGTTATCGCAACAAGAGTTGACAAGCAAGTCGTGAAATAATGTTCATAGATATTTCACTAAACTGGAGAATTGAGATAACCTACCTTGCGGGTTTTTTGGGTTTTTTTTGGTTTTTTTTGTTTTTTTAAAAAAAAGCTTTACTATTTCATATATCCCCAGATTGGTGCAAATCCCAGGCCATTGGCAGAGCTATAGCAGCTTACATCTCTCTTCAAATAGGAAGAGCCACAACAAAACCATTGTTCTAAGCATTTAGAGCGTGTTACCAAACTCTTGCACAAAGTAGATCAGGTTGTTCTTTTGTTTTTAATGTGTCTATCACAGACAGACAACAATGGATTCCATTTCCCACACAGAGCTTACTGGGATTTAAAAAGGAAACTTCCAAGTCTGGGTATTTGACTGTTTAAAAGTTTAGTAATCCTGATTTTACATGCCTTCAAGTATGGGCAATCATCAATAATTTTCAATGCATGTCTCCAACAACACTGTCCTGCCAAAGCAAGTACATCAGAAATGGAAAATCCTTATGATTTTTTTTACCTCAGAAATACGAATTTCAGAAAATAAGATCCTATTACATCTGCAAAGGGCAATGAAACCTAGCTCTTGCCATCATAACTACAGCCTCCTTTAAAAGCTTAGACATGTGATGACTTGGCATGAAATACTCACTACTCATTTCATTCTCCCTCCTAGATCTGTTCTTCCCTGTCTTAAATATTAGGTCTATTTAAGAAGCAACAAACTTGCACATAAACCCTTTTCAAGAGTATTATTAAAGTAGCAAAATGAATCTTAAAGTCTTTTTTCTAGCTCGATGCTCTGAAGCAGAACATGAAATCCACTAGTCCCCCCCCCTAAAATAAACCCAGGGAACGAAACAATTATTATAGCAACAAATTTCTCAGCACAACTTGCACATCTTCTCTTTGCAAGCTGCTTTATACGTTTTAAAAAATAGAGCTAAAAAAAGAACTACTTCTTGGTCAATAAGCTGGTACAATTGAACTCTCAAAGGCAGAGAGAGTTTTACTCGTGTTGACTGCTGTATTTGTAGAGCCATTTTATCATACACTCTATAAGATATTTTTCATATACTGGAGAGGATCATAAGTAATAGTTTTTATTTGAGTAACAGAAGCATAATATCATTCCTCCACATTCAGATACACACTTTTCAAAAGCTTCTGAAAACAGTATGTAGTCAAGAAATTAAAGGCCTTTGGAGATGACAACCTAATCACAATTGAAAAGAGTCCAGTCCACACATCAGTCTTGCATTTTGTGCTATAAAGCCAGGGGATGCAAACCCAGGCTATTCACTAGCAAGTCCCACATCCAATGCAACCTATCAGGCTGACTGAAGGGAACCTGGTGGTTTTGCGTAACTAAAATTACTCTGAACTATTTTGCCTCATGTTTCTCCTTTGTACAAGACAAGCATGACACAGCCTCTACAGAAGAGCTAACACAGAGGATCTTTACCCTTGAGCAAAGAGGTTTAAGCCTGTCCACTGCTGAAAATAAGATGCACCAAGGAAAGCCAGGATGCCAATTCCTCAAGCAAATGGCCACCATTGCAAGCTGGTGGCTAAGAGTACCTTATCCTGCTAACCTGTAGATTACACACACAAAAAGCATCCACAGATTACCTCAGCAAAAAAGTAACAAACTAAAAACCTCCAAGCACAGAAGAGATACAGGACAGGTAAATTAATAGCATCTAGGCAGCAATCCACATCTTTAGATACAAAAGCAGACTGCCCTGCTGAAAGCTCTTTGTTAGAAAAGCTGCAGTTCGAGACAGTCTTTCAAGTGAACAAACCAGAACCAGGTGTAAACTTCAAGCTAGGTCAAATCCCGTAATACATTGTCATACTCCTGTAGTCCTTTGGGACCAATCAAGGAAGAGCCCCTGTACCCTGAAGACCTGTATTAGCTATTTTAGGTTTTTCTTCATAAAAATAATTAAATGATGCAAAATATAATGGACAGTTTAAGTTATTTCATGTAGAAACATAAAGAACTTACTAGATGGTCCACATTTCATATTGTGAAGTCTCCTGTTCCGAGATAGGGATATCGTAGTAGATGAAGCGTTATAAACTGCCATTCCAGACTCCTTTCAGGAAGAACAAAGAAATCAGCAGCTATAACCAAGACACTTTACTGATAGACTGTGAAGACATTTTTAAATTCACCATTTTTAGTAAGCTCACTGCTTCATATTGGCTTACTAGAAAGTTATTTTACAATAGTGTGTTTTGATAAGAAGTATAGTCATTCTACTCAAGACTCCAGTAAAGGAGCATCAAAGTACATTATGCCTGAAGACAGCAGGCAGATTTTAAACCAGTTAAGCCAAAATGCCTAAAACCACATAACCAAAACAGTCCTCTGTGCCCTCCTCCATAGTCCTTTTACTCTCAATTACAGCCTCTATACCATCATGTGTATTTAACATCATTCTCAGTATAAACAATCTGCTGTTTTAGCTCTTATCACTCAGTTACAGTTTTTTTAAATCATTTTAAAGTATATACATGCATAAATCAGTAAACAATATCATAATAATTAACAGAATGTCTTATAAGGTCCTAAATTCACATATTTGCAAGAACCTGATCCAACACCCAGCAAAACCAACAGGTTTGTTTTGTGGCAGTTTTTTATTTGTTTTTTAAAAAGTTTCATAAACAGCCAGGTTAGTTTTCCTGGTATTTCCTGCCATCTTCTCCTTCATCTTTTTCTCTTGTTCTAGCATTCAAAAAATATATGATGACAGACTACAGCTTCTATTCTCTTCTGTTTCGTTTCTCATAAGGACTTCTGCCTTCAACAGTCAGCAGCAAGATATCTTGAGTTTTCTTGTATTAACTCCCAATATCATGGTGAATTAAGCTTTCTTTTTCTCCCATAAATTGCCCTTTGGAATCCCAGTGTTTCTAGTCTATTTGACTTTGTAATCGTTTTTATAAATTGGTCCATCATTATAATGTTGACTCCTCCCTTATTCTTGCCGTATTCATCTATTAATCCAACTTCTATTTCATTCTTCCGTCTGTCAGCAGCACCAGTCACAACCTGTCCACCTTCTTTCCAAAGTCAAATTACTTATACAGTGGCATCTGTAGCACTTCTGAATGAGAAATACACAGAGTCTTACCATAGTACCATGAGAAGAACTCAAAGTTTTGGGGGAACAAAAAAAAAACAACCCACAAACAGGAAAAAGAACCCACATGTTAGTTGTTAACAACTTACAAGTCAGTCATGGTCACTAGTTATTTGACAGCTTCTAGGTAAATTGAAGGGACAGCATTCCTTCACGCTGTTTTACCCAAGGATGATGCATAGTTTAGGTAGGATGACATACGAGTTCCTTCCCATCTTCTTTCAAGTACAAAGATTTAGCATTTTACTTATAAATTTGTGACCTTGCCTACCCCATTTATAGAGAAGTGGGACTACATATAAACTCAGCTATTTATACAAAGAGGTACTGTAGATGGAAATAGCCCTTTAAGATGCAGCTTTGAATGCCCAGGTTCAAGGAAACTGGTGAACACAGACAACTCATCTTAAAAGGGAACATTTTAATGACAGAAGTAGCACAGCACCTGAGCATGTATAACTTGTTTCATATTCTCCACAATTCTTCTCCGAGAGGAAACAATATCCAAAACAATTTACATATTACTCAGAAAATTTCCATATCAGCTTTTGTAGAAAATATGCTTTAAGGAAATAATATTAACTTGTGGTTTTAGTGCACACAAAACAACCAGTCCTGTAAAATGTACTAGCATGCAGAAAGGAAAGCAGTATCAGCATTGATCTATAAAGGTTCTTTAAAGACTTGTTTAAAACTTAGATACTTACATTTCCTATAAAAAAACAAACGAGCAAAACATCAAATCACAAAAGCCAGTTCAGCCTATATCATCTACTTGAAAAAACAGAGGAGCAGACCTGCTTAGACAAGTTACAAAAAATACATTGCTATTTTGTCATGATGTGTTCATATTGCCATGCTCATGACAGGTAGAAGTATATATATAATTAGCACAGCTTTGTTAAAACCACATTGCTCACCTTCTCTATAACCTCCTATCTTTGTTCTAGAACTGCCTACATCTAGGCTGAATAACATTTTTCTCAATTTAACATGAATTTTTCAACCCTCAGAAGCCAATGACTTATGATAGCAAGTTTTTCCTTATTAACAAAGCATCTACTTACATTAGCTTAATTAGCATTAGCTGTTTATTAATAGGATATCTACCGTGGTAAGACTAACTGAGCAAATAATTTCCAAAATAACATTATAAATAACACCAGCCATGTCTACATAATTTTACCTAAGGACTTGGTTAGATTTATTGCGTTTAATTTTCAAGCCCTGGTGTTTTATCATTCAAACTTCTTAGTCCTGTACACTATTCTGTAAAGTATTTTTAAAATACCATGCGTTTTCTGTGTTCTAAATATCTACCAAGACATTTGACTGAAAAGTGATCTCAGAAGCTATGTCATTAACTAAGTCTTTGTGGACTTAAAATTCTGCAAAGGGCTTAACGACCATCGCTTAGTGTTGCTTGACCTCTTCCTTTGAGGAAGCTTACTAAAAGCAAGAACATGAAAAAGCATTACTGTTAGTTTTAGACAGTTCAAAAGGCTAGGACAACTACTCTTCAGGTTCTTACCTTTTCAAAACGAATATTGATTTTTTTTTTTTTTTTCCCCCTTTTGCCTAAGCATACTTCTTACTGAAGTTTCTGCTCAGGAGGCTAGCACAGAAGGAAACAAAGAGCTATCACTCTATCATGAATTCTTGGGGGGAGAACCTCCATCCGCAAACATCTGTAGTTGACCAGTAGTTGGTTTTGTTACCTGCTTGCAGTTATGTGGCACGTTTTTCCCCTCCGCTTGATCTTTTCCCAAAAAGAGTGGGGAGAAAGCACAAAGACAGACGATTCTTCTGTGGAGCCCTGAACAAGGGCTACAAAGCAATCTTTCCTTTTCCCACCCTCAAACAACGGAGCGGGAACCACACACCCTAATTACATTTCAGCAACACACCATGAGTGGTATAGTTGGGTTGCCAAGATAAACCACATCCAAAAGCCTGTACCGAGCTGTAGCGATCTGATACTGCCAGCTCATTTACTTTTACTGAGAAGTGAAAAGGCATGAAGTGATGACTGCTGGATGAGGCAGACCAAATGTCAGCTTCCCTTGGAGCAAGGATGCTTCATCCAACTATTTCTGAACGAGCTGAATCTTCCCTTACTACTTAAACGCTTTAAGCCCCAAGTTTCCTTCCATTCATGACTGGTACTTCTTACGGCTGGGATAAAACACACATTCAACACTGTCTAAAGGACAAGTCCCAAAGAATCAAGAAGGACAGCCATCAGAAACACTGACGGTATCATAGTAATGTACAGATATATTGAGGCAAGATATAAGAAACATATGATCCTGATGACAACCAGAACACCCATCCCTCAGACCGGTGCCGGCCAGACACCCCTCAGAGGGGTCTCGCCAGGTGGCAGCGCGGGAAAGCCAGGCACCATCTTGGGGCACCAGCGACGGCACCGCGTCGCCTCTTCAGCGCTGCCCACACCGCCGTTCGAGGCGACCGAC